CTTCGGTTTTGATCAGAAATCTTTCATACTTCAACTCCTAATCCTGCTTTTATCATCAAATCGTGCAAGACAACATCACATTCCTCTCAAATCCAAAATTTTCAAGGTAATATTTCAAAAACTCTATTTTATTGATTTTTGATCTTAGGACTAGTTTTAATTAGTTTTAGGATGAACATTATATCGGACATTGATTGTTTGATGATTACAAACTAGTTTTTACAACTAATTTCATCAAAAACTCACAAATTTTTAATAAATTTGTGAATTTTCGAAATAATTTTTTTTTAAAAATCTAAATTTAATTTCTAAATTTGATGTTTTTGATTTAATTATGTTGTTTTCGTGAAAAACTATACATATTATAATTTTCAAACATTGTTTTCTAAATAGGTTTTCAAAACTATTCCCATTAGGATTCGATTTAGAGAACCTTGAATTATTGTGGACTCAATTGAGTTTTGGGATTAATTAAATTGCATACATGTGTTTCAATTTGCAGGTTATATTCCTTATTTCGATTCCTAAACCATGTCTAATCCCAAACTTCCTAGGACTTCATCTAGTCGTTCAACCTGTCCTCCAAATCCCGTTCCTCCTCTACCTACATCTCTTATAGGATCCTGTTTCAATATGCCTGAGCGTCGTAGAGGCGACGTGTACCATAGGTACATGGAGTCTTTCCAATCTTATAGAATCCAGGAAGAGTGTATTCCTTCTCTTCAAGCCATGATTGATATTGACTTCGAATACCTTCCGATTCTTAAAACATGGAAGTTTGATAAAATGTTTCAGCTCAAACTTATCGTCTATCAATATTTAGTCCGCATTTTCTACTCCAATGCAGTATGCATTCAAAACCAAACTCAATGTGGGACTATAGCCATTAGATCCTATCTTTTAGGCCAATATATTACTATTGACCCCGAGACTATAGCTTTTCATTTTTTGGCTAGATGACGAAGGTTTATTTAATGAGAATGAAACTGTGGATTATCCATATGTTCCAAATGCTAGTGTTAGTACTCTACGATCTCATCACGATCGTTTTCTTCATTTTATGATCTCTTGGTGGTTTAGACCATCCGGAGGTAGGTACTCCACTCTTCGTACTAGGGATTTATGGTGGATGCACTGTATCAAGAATAAGAATAAAATAAATCTTCCCCACATTATTTTTAGTCAACTGGTGGATATCATAAACATTATTCCTTCAAAACATGTCGAAACATTAGTTTATGGATGTCTTCTTAGTAACCTTTTTATCAAACTCGGTCTAAATGTCTCTCTTGACAATCCTATTCCTCTCCAAAACCCAATCAATCTCATTTCGTTAAAGAAAGCAGATTGGAAACAAGACGAGGAAACTGGTCTTTGGGTCTATCGACCCGGTAAGCAAACTCAGGGAGCGAGTTCTTCACGAGCTGCTCCTAGCTCCTCTCGTGCTCCTCCTCCGGCACCGGCTACTAACGATGATCTCAAATTTCAACAGCTTATGCAAGATATCGATGATCACGTACCAGACGATGAGCCTGCACCGGAACCAGCACGACAAGAAGATCAAACACCACCATATTTTCGATCTTTCTTAGAATCGTTTGATCTGAGGTTTGCCTCCATGGAGTCTCAGATTACTGAGTTTCAGCGGGAGATGCGTGAACCTATGGACGCGCTCACTCTTGAAGTTCAAGCTCATTATCCTCCTCCTCTTGACCCTTCGATGGATTAGACCTTTTTCCATGCTTTCTTAGTTTTTAAAACTTGGATTGATATTTGTTTTTGATGTTTCTGGATTTTTGTTTTGGATTGATAAATGTTTGAATTTGTTAGGTGTTGGATGTTTTATGGATTTAGAACTTATTATATATATATTTGGGATGGTTTTATCTTTCTTATTTTGAGCTTAATGTTTATTAATTTTTGCATCATTTACAATTCAGTTACATTATGACCAATTATGCCATTTCACAATTTGATTATGAATATTGATTATGAAACTAATGGCTAACCTCTCTTTTGATTGTGATCTTAGCAGCTTAAGCTATATTTACTTATAATCAATTGGTTATGCTTTTCAAAACCTAGTTTAAATCAATTTTTGAGTCTTTTTGATTTAACAAAAAGGGGGAGAAGTGTTAAGTGTTAAAATGTTTTAAAGGGGAGAAGTGTTAAAGTAAGGGGGAGTAATTTCAAACATGATTTTTCAAAATTTATTTTCAAAGAAAATCTTAAAATTACTAAAATGTTTTGTTATATCAAAAAGGGGGAGATTGTTGAAAACATTTTTGATGTTTCAATATAACAAACTAAATATAAATGAATTTTAAGATTTTACAAAAGAGTTTCTAAGTATATTTGATTTAATTAATCGAATATCAAAATATTACTCCTAGTCTTTTAAGATCATTTTCAAACCTTACTAAATGTGTAAAATTATGTTTTATACTTAATATATTTTTGAAACAATTTTCACAAAGTATTTTGAACCAAAATAAGCCTAAAATCAATTTGTCAAAGTGATGCACCGATGCACCAATCCATGCATCAATGCACCATGGAATTAATTGAACATCAAATGCATTTTATGCATAGATGCACATACCATGCATCGATGCACTCAGTGCATTTGATGCATCGATACACAAGCCATGCATCGATGCACTCTGGCTATTTTGAAACATCGAATGCATTTTATGCATCGATGCACTCTTAGTGCACCGATGCACTAAGGGTCCAACGGTTAAAATATTTGAATTTTACACTTGATGCACCGATTCACCATGGGTATGCATCGATGCACAGACGCTCCCAACTGATTTTATTAATTTTTTTTTCACACTTAAACGGCTTTATTAACTCCACTAACCATCCCCAACGTTCAGAATCATTTGAAGGAGTATTTAAACAAGTTCTGAAGCCATTGATCAATAACAAGAAAGAAGAAATCATAGAGAAACAAGAGAGAAAGCATCAAACATCAAGTTTGTGCAAATCAAGCCAATTTTCCTTCAATATTCATTTTGTTTTCAAGAACACAATTTGTGCTTGATTGTAATTATCTTTGAGTGTTCTTATCTTGTTCTAGAATTGTGTAAACATATTGCCTTGTGAGGTTTTCCTTGTAAGTTTGCAAATTTGTGTATTTCTCTTTGAAAAAGAGTGTGCTCAAGAATTGGGGTATAATTCTTGAGGGAGTTGTAAGGTTACTCTTTGTCCTCAAAAGAAAGAACAAATTAGTGAATTTGTTGGAAAATCCTTAGTGTGGATAGCTAAGGTAGTGGACGTAGACTTTGGTTGAGAAAGTCGAACCACTCTATATCGTTGTGCAACTTCTTTCAATTTTCTGCAAAAAGCTTCCACCAATTTTTAAATTGCCAATTCACCCCCTCTTGGCCGATTACATCAATCGATTAACTCAACACCATTCTTTTGAATATAAAGTTGAACCACTCTATATCGTTGTCTTAAATGTGGAAATTAGGATTTGAATATAAAGTTAAAACATGATCCATGTTTTAGAAAAAAAATATCGATGATATTATTTTGCACGAATAATTCTCGAAAATACCTTCTTTATCAGTCAAGGTGTGTTTTTATGAATTCTCCATTCGAAAGATCATTATCATATTTTTATCAAATTATATATATTTAATATATAAAAAAATAAAATAAAATAAAATAAAATCATGAGCATATTAAAATATTTAATAAACTATCATACACATGCAACATGTATAGATTTGTATTTAACGTGAGAAATAATAAAATTAAATTATAGGATGCATAGTCATACTTAGAAAAGGTATAAAACACATTATGCAACTAATTAATTAAAAATTATCATATATATTTATGGCATAATGCACGCATATATAGATATATAAACTACAAAATGAACATATAAACGAGACAAACATATCATATCAAACAAATTACTTTAAGAGTCAAACAAGTTGACGTCTAAATTAAAGAAATAATAAATTAAATAAGGGAAACAAATTACACCCACATACAAACATAAACCACTCTATACAAATTCACATCTACAAAATTAGCTGACCCTATTCCCATATGTAATGGGGTGAGGGGGAGGTAGGGTAGTAGGTTGCCCCCAACGTCAGGTTGAGAGCAACTTTCGTGGAATACCTCCGACAGTCATAATTATGAATTGCCCACTGTGGGACTCGATCCCACGACCACAAGGTTAAGAGCCTTGCACTCTATCAACTGAGCTGGACGACCAATTTTTAAATTCACATCTACAAAATAGATGACAATTCTTCCACTAGCACGAGAAAGTAACAAAAGAGTCAAACAAATTGTTTAAAGAAATAATAAATTGACATGAAATGTTTGCTAAACATGAAAACACAAATCTAGAAAATTAGATTAACTCGAAACATGAACACAAATATTTAAGCTATCTTCAAATATTATAAATAAATAAATAAACAAATTGATTAAACGAAAACAAAGCTATATTAATAAGAAGATTGATTAATAATTTTAAATAAACTAGAACCAAAATCATAAATATTAAATATTACCAATATTAAAAATGAAAATAGTCAATAAATTACGTATAGGAATAAAATAAAATGACAAGAAATATGGAGGACTAATCCATAATTTATTTTAAATATCAAACAGTGATTAAATTAAAATATTTACAACTGTCACGGTCAAATTAAAAAAACATTAAAAATGCACAATACATTTAATCAATGACCAAAATAAAATGATTATAAATTTTACTATCAAAGTCAAACAAAATATATGATAATAGGGCTAAAATACAAATACTAAAATATTAAAACTCAAAATAAAATAAGTACACTTCATTTAATGACTATAAAGTAGGGATACAAATCAGCAGGGACTACAAGTGTAGTTATCCTATGGCTGGTAGACACGGATTGGGGTTGGGGTATGAAACGGTGTCATTTTGGTTTGGGTATTTAATCCCAAACCGAGGCCTTGTATCCCTAAAACCTTTTCATTTTTCCTTGCTTCAGAAATAAGAGAGAGAGAATAAGTAATTCTCTCAACTCTCATCAGAGGAGAGAACAAACGCCACTGCCGATGACACTCATGGCGGCACTCGCGGTGACTGGCGGTGGTCGGAGAGAGCTAGTGACCTTAAAAGAATCCCCTTAACCCTCTCTACTCCTTTCCCAACGTGGTTTAGCCTGAAACCGTCTCTAAATCCTTAGATCTAGGTTTTTTATCTCTCGAAGTTTTTGAAATCCAATGACCGTTGATGTTCCCGATCGGCTTTGAACCCCACTGTAAGTTTTCTTTCCTTCTAATACTTGGTTTCCTTGGTTTGATTCCCCCTGTTCGAATGTTTTTTTTTATTTTTAGTATTCGAAAACTCTTCCTCCTTATTCCCGAATCATTTCCCCCCTTTTATGCTTGCTTGTAATGGAGTGTGGGACTCGTATTTTGTAAATAAAATTACAAAAATCCGAGATTTATGTATTTAAAATGGTTTAGTGGATCTTTGAGATAATATTTTTTTTATTTGGTGGGTTAGTTCGGATCTAATTGATTTGTGTTTTTTGAGTGATGTTTTGCGGAAGGGATGACGTTCTCTGGTGGTTCGGATGTTCGCAGTTGTTCGGCGTTTACTGTTGCTACTGTTCGGCGTTAACTGTTGCGACAATTGGAGAGGATGTCACTGTTGCGGCGTTAGCTTAAGTTGATAAGGGATTAGGGTTAGAAAACCCTAGTTTGAAATGAGTCAGTGATTGGGCCGGTTTGGGTCGCTTCGGGCATCAGTTTATAACTGGGTCACTTGTAATGGGCTTTAGGACTGGACTTGAACTTTATTTTTAATCTCGACTTGGGCTATTTGTTTTTTAATGGTCCTGCAAATATTATAATAATTAGAATAATAATATTAATAGTAATATTTATAATAATAATAATAATTTAATAATTTTTTTAATCCGTATAAAAATGAGTGTCTATCCTCCTTTTTGGATCCCCTTTTCTTTGTTACTGCATGCTTGTTATAATGGTAATGGATGTGTGTTTGGTGAGGGTTGCTGGCAGAGGGTAGGTTAAAGGCATGAACCTCCTGGATTTTCGGGATTTAGTTTATTTTTTTAATATGGGTTTTGGTTATTTGCACTGTAGATGATGATATTTTATAGTTTTCTTAATTCAGTCGAAATTGCTTAGGTGGTCAGTGACAACGATGGCTCGACGGTGAGAATTGAGCGGATTCATGATGGCGGTGGGAACAACTCCCTTCACTTGAGACATTGACAGTAGATGACTCTTAGGGCTTCAAGAACAAACCCTAGAAGCTTGGGCTACTCTGATTTGGGATTCTGTTCTTTGGATCTGTTGGACCCTTTGTAATTAGTCTCGTTGTAATTTCTATTGGCCTGCAATAAAAGAAAAAGAAATAATAATAATAAAATAATAATAATTAAAATTCGGACAAAACGGGTGTCTATAATTGCTCATCTTTGCCTATTTTTGTGTTAACAAAAATATGACAAAGATAAAAAAACGAAGTGTTTTTATACAGTTCCAGCTTGATGTTGTCTCAAGTGAGATTGAAAATGACTTTTATATCAAGGGAGATGGAAACTTGTTTTAAGTGAAGCAATCTCAAAGCTCTTGTTTCAAAGAAATATTGTACCAAGTGAGACAAAAATTATTTTAAGAAAAATAATTTCAAGGTTTGAGTTTTGAAGGACACAACCTCATGTGAGACGAAATTTGATTTAAGAAAAACAATCTCAGGCGAGATAATTTTTGTTTTGAGTGAAAATAAATGAGAAACTTTTAAAATCACTTTTTTTTTTTCTTCAAAATATCAAGTAGAAAACATTATGCCCCAAGGTCTTATAGATGACAAGAATGACTTATCATATTGCTCGAAAGACTTATAGATGACTTAGAAAATTTGATCATTATGCTCGGAAGACTTGCTAATGGCCCGGAGGACTCACTCATTTTGGAAATATTCTACTAAGTAAGAAACTTTGAAAATCATTTTCTTACTTTTCAAAAATTTCATTTTTTGTAAATCGAGTAAGAAATTTTAAATCAAATGGGAAATTTTGAAAATCTTTTTCTCATTTTAACAAATATCTTACGAAAATATCATGTCCGGAGGTCTTATAGATGACCCATAGGATTTATCATCTTGCTCAAAAGACTTACAGATGACCCAAAGGATTTAATCATCATGCTCAGAAGACTTATTGATGGTCCAGAGGACTTATTCATTCTGGAAATATTCTACTATGTAAGAAACTTTGAAAATCGCTTTCATACTTTTCAAAAAAATCATATAAAAACATCATATCAAAACACTATATATCGGGAAACATGCCCTATTTCAAAGTGATGATTCTTCGTGATTGGGCTCCTCAATCCTCGAGGCTCAGCAACTCTGAACATAATTCCCTTCATTTGAGGATTGGTTTATGCTTTTTCTTCTTTCTATTCTTTTTGTTTAGAAGATATGTAAAAAATTATGCATCTATGCATGAGAATATGAATGTAGTTAAATACTTCTAAATGTAATTCATGATATGCTCAATGTATGCAGAGATGTTGGTCATCAATCTTCTTTTGACTTATGAGTAGAGAACTTAGTGTTCCTTTACTGATCATCCTAGAATAAAGCTTGTCCCAATATCAGTGTGGCAACTTGTCAGTTCAAGCTTGTATCTTTTGAAAGACAATCTGATCGTCCTGTGCAATTATGTTTGTTGAGTTAATCGATCGACGAAATCGGCCAAGAGGGGGGTGAATTGGCAATTAAAAATTTGGTGGAAGCTTTTGCAGAAAATTGAAAGAAATTGCACAGCGATTTACAGTGGTTCGACTTTCTCAAACAAAGTCTACATCCACTACCTTAGCTATCCACACTAAGGATTTTCCAACAAATTCACTAATTTGTTCTTTCTTTTGAGGCCAAAGAGATAACCTTACAATACCCTCAAGAATATACCCCAATTCTTGAGAACACTCTTTTCCCAAAGAGAAGATTACAAATTTGCAAACTTACAAGAAACCCTCACAAGGTAAGATGTTTGCACAATTCTAGAATAAGAAAAGAACACTCAAAGATAATTACAAATGAGCACAAATGGTGTTCTTGAAAGCAAAATGAATATTGAAAGGAAAATTGGCTTGATTTGCACAAACTTGGTGTTTGATGCTTTCTCTCTTGTTTCTCTATGATTTCTTATTGATCAAGGGCTTCAGAACTTGTTTAAATACACCTTGAATCACTTCTGAACGTTGGGGATGATTAGTGAAGATCATATAGCCGTTTAAGTGTGAAAGCAATTAATTTTTCTAGGTGGAGCGTCTCATGCATCGATACATGATGGATGATGCATCGGTGCATCAGTGTAAAATTCAAATATTTTGACCGTTGGAACACTTGATGCATCGGTGCACCAAGTGTGCATCGATGCATGAAATGCATTCGATGTTTGAAAAATAGCATGGTGCATCGATGCATGGCTTGTGCATCGATGCATCAAATGCATTCGATGTTTTGAAAATATTCAGAGTGCATCGATGCATGGAGAGTGCATCGGTGCATGGAATGCATTCGATGTTCAATTAATTCATCGATGCATCGATGCATGGACTGATGCATCGATGCATGGACTGATGCATCGGTGCATGCCTTTGAATAATTGATTTAAGGCTTGTTTTTGGTTCAAAATACTTTGTGAAAATTGTTTCAAAAATAGTTTAAGTACAAATCACAATTTTACACATTTAGTAAGGATTAAAATTGATCTTGAAAAACTTGGAGTAATAATTTGATATTCGGTTAATTGAATCGAATGTAAATTTGTAAAATCTTAAAATTCATTTAACTTAATTTGTTATATCGAAATATCAAAAATGTTTTCAACATTCTCCCCCTTTTTGATATAACAAAACATTTAAGTAATTTAAGATTTGTTTAAGAAATTATTTTTGAAATCGATTTTGAAAAACTTACTCCCCCTTACTATAGCACATCAAAAACTTACTCCCCCTTACTATAGCACATCTTAAATTTTCTCCCCCTTTTTGTTAAATCAAAAAGACTATATAAAACGTTAGCCAATTGATTTATTAATAATAAGCTGCTAAGATCACAATCAAAAGAGAGATTAGCCATTAGTTTTCATAAACAATATTCATAATAAAATGTGAAATGGCATAATTTGATCATAAATTTCTAATGATGCAAAATTAATAAACAGAAAGCGTTAAAATGTCAAACCAAATATATATAATAAGTTCAAGCATCCTCAAACAAACATCCAACAACTAATCAAGTTCAAAGTACCAAACAAAGCACAAAAATCAAAATCAATCCAAGTTTTAAAAACAAGAAAACATGGCAAGTAAGTCTACTCCATCGGAGGATCGGGAGGAGGATGTTGAGGAACGGGAGGACGGTTTTGGTGAGACCGACTAGAGGATGTCCTAGGGCATTTAGGATTAGTCATGGTAAGGAAAATCGGAAAAGGAATATCACCTGCAATTTTAAAACACATGTATGCACAACAATTAATCCCAAAACTCAAATGAATCCTCAATAATTCAAGGTTCTCTAACAAAGTCCTAATGGGAAAAGTTTTGAAAACTATTTAAAATTAATATCATAATACGCATAGTTTTCATGAAAACAACACAATTGAATCAGTAATTTTCGATTTTTTTTTAAATTCGAAATTTCAAAAACAATTTTGAAAAATTATGCGTTTTTGATGAAATTCATTGTAGAAACTAGTTTAGAATCATCATATAACCAATGCCCGATAATTATTTTAAACTAGAACTAATCTAAACTAGTCCTAAGTTCAAAAATTAATAAAATAGAGTTTTTGTAAAAAATACCTTGAAAAATTCAGATTGAGGAGAATGTGGAGATGTTTTGTGCGATTTAATGATTGTAGCAGGTTTGTAGGATATAAAACTTGAAGAATCCGATGTTTTCCCGAAGATTTTGAGCAAAATGGAGATTTTGGAGAGAGAGGGGTCGAATGGTTGTATGTTTTAGTGTTTAGGGTTTGAGAAAAATGAAGAAGATGAGGATTTTAAACCTAAAACCCGACGGATGCATCGGTGCATGGTCTTATGCATCGATGCATATTCAAGGCATGCATCGGTGCATCATGGTGATGCATCGATACATATTCAAAGGGATGCATCGATGCATTGTTAAATGCATCGGTGCATGAAGCACAAAAATGTCAAAAATCCGTTTTAAACACTTAAAATGCTAAATAATTTGGCTCTAATGGTAATGGCAACTCATATCAAAAATTAATTATGTTCAATCAATCAGATTAATCTTTAAACATTATTTGAACATAAAATTAATTTTCACTAAGAATCATAAACTCCCCCTAACTAATAGCAAGAATGCAATCAAAAATTATTATTATAAGCATTTTTCAGTATTTATTAAAAGTGCTAAATTATTTTAAACACTAAGTGAAGATAGGTCAGTTAAACCTAATTCTCTCCTAAGTGTCCAAAATCTTTCTTTATCTAAGGGTTTTGTAAAAATATCCTCTAATTGGTGCAAAGTATCAACAAATTCTAGAACTACATCTTCCTTAGTGACATGGTTCCTAATGAAGTGATGTCTTATTTCAATATGCTTAGTTCTAGAGTGTTGGATGGGATTTTTAGTGAGACAAATAGCACTAGTATTGTCACACTTGATAGGAATGATACATACTTCAATTCCATAATCAAAAAGTTGTTGTTTCATCCATAAAACTTGTGCACAACAACTACCGGCTGAAATGTATTCCGCTTCAGTGGTAGATAATGCAACACAATTTTGTTTCTTTGAAAACCAAGAAATCAGCATA